GGAGCTGCGATCAGCCAAACCTGCGAACGCGGCAGGTAAACAAGCCGGCCTGGCCCACCAAGGGGCGTACCCTGGCGGGCCGCATGCCAAAGGTTGCCGATCCCTGCTTTAGATTCATAGTAGTGGCCCTCTAAAAAAAAAAAAAAAAAAAAAGGGGGGGGGGGGAGAAGAGAGAGAGAGAGGTTGACATTTTTAAATGCATTTAGTAGACACACTTCTAGATACCATTCTGTCAGTGTCTAGTTTTCACTGCTCTTATCATATAACACCAATCTGAAATAATTAAACACCAGCATGTAGATGTTTTAACCACAATGGGCTGACTCAAGGAAATAGTTGCAATGTTAATTCAGGTTTGATGGGGTTGCTTGAGATGGAGGAGTGGATGAAGAAGGGATGGGTGAGGCCCTCAGAGAGTAGCCACAACTCACTATTTCTCACCCACTTGTCTGTGGTCAATAGAGACCATTCTCCTGAGAAACAGAAAATTCAAGGAGTATTTCTGCATATTACTGGGCTTGTAGTTCCTTCTCAACACACTACTAGTTTGGTTTGGAAGTGCTGTCTGCCACAACTTAATCCAATTTTTCTCCAGACAGGAGACAACCTGTGTATTTGGGTGAGCAAAGAATTTGTTTGGAGTAAGCATCTGTAGTCCAGGGCACAGTTAGATGTGATTCCATGGCACTAGCTGAGAATCTCACTGCATCCACTGAGGCATCTGCCATAAAGTCTGTTGCTGGGGTTAGAAGTCAGGATGGTCCTTTTGTTGTCATGGTTTCATGGCCATCCTGACTGTCTCTTGTGAAGCATATAGTGGCCTGTTCCTTTTATGGTGGCTTTCACCTTTTTGTATCACTGGGAGAGAAATCCTCTTCACCCAGGATTATTATTTCTTTTGCTAGAGATGCCACTGCAGTATCATCCTTTGGCATTTCTGTAATGGTGCTTTTTGGTGTTTGCAACTTTTATCTAAGTGCACACCTGCTTATGTGCTTAGCCTTGTCAGGTATTTCCCATTCATCCCTGTTCACATCCTCAAAAGGGTGCAGTGAGAATGCTGTCAGAAGCGAGGATTTGGAAGGCAGGTATTTGCCCTTAGGCTGGTCCTCGTGTGCCAGTTCTGGTTGATCTGGAGAGCAGATGCAACCTTTCTGCATATGGTCTCAAATTTATCAGAGGGTGAAAAACCTTTGCTGCATGTTTTCCATGCCCTGCGCAGAGCCTGAATATGAGAACTGTCCTTCCTCATTAGAGGTGGCAGAGCCTGAATCAGAGGAGAAATACTCTTAGATTTCTTTTAATTTTTTTCTTTACCTTTATAATTTTTTTGGATTTTTGGCCCTTCTTATCTGCTCAGCAGGAGTTGTCACCAAGCTATGGCTTGGATGGGGTTTCTTGAGTCCCATGGAAATATCTCCCTGTACCTTCCCCTTTACTGGGAATGGGGTCTCACTGCTAGTGTCCGTAGCTTTGTGTGGGAAGGAGAGCTATGTGGGAATCCTGCTTCTTTTCCTAGGGAGTTTAGGATCCATCTGTATCGGGGATGGGAGATCTGGTGCCCATTGTTTTTTCATTCTGATCAGGGTCTGCCCCAGGACTTAACCCCGAGCTAGCTGGCTGGCTGGCATCCTCATCTTTGGATATCCACCCTTCCCCCCTGCAATAACTTGTCTCGTGGGAGGGGTTTTCTACATTGGAGTCATGGTTCCTCAGACAGGTATGTCAGGTCTCCCCTGCCTTGATTCTGAGCCCCATGTCCTGGCAGAGAATAGACACAGCATTAATTTGCCCTCTGAAGATCCTGTAAATGCTGCCTCACATACGGAACACTGCTTAGACTTAACCAGTGTTTATGGGACAGACCTGCTATGCTGGATCAAGGAGGCTGACACCATCATGATGCTCTTTATCTGATCCAGGGGAAGAGAATAGGGAAGGGAGAAGAAAGCCACTTCTAGCCAAAAAATTAAAAACAAGGCTGGCAAAGAAATGATTGGAAGCAAAGTGAACTGCTACTATGGTAGTGAAGACTTGGTGGCAAGTTACAGTAGGGGATGTAATCAGCTGGGACTGTGTTACAGAGATGAACTGCTCTGGGAAACTGCAGACAGGAGGGGACTAGCCCTTAGAACTTGGGCTGCAGAAATACCAAGCTAAATATTTCAGAAATTTATAGCAGAACTTCACAGGTGATTTTTTTTTTTTAAATCATACTACCTGAGTTGGCACTAGAAGTTATAAATCCATAAAAACTGTATGCACTAAACTGTTATTTACCTAGCCAAATTTGAGATTTCAAAACAGTCAGGTGAAATAGCCTATATGGGGTTTTTTCTAGGACAAAAATCTTACTTTTAGAATTACTTTGTTCCTATGTTTTATGTAGAAGTTGCTCATTTTTTCAAGAGATAAAATAAAATACACTTCTAACCTGAATGAGTGGCTCTGCCTCATCTTCAGTGTTTGTTTTAGCATGCTTCTTGTATGTACATATTTAAAAATTAGTATACATCCAACACTAGTAACTTTCTACTGCACGTCAAAGAAGGTGTTTGAGAGAAAACTCAAGGGCCTTTTATAAAGTACCACTGTCCTTGTCACATTCCTAATGGTATGTAAAGGGATTGACGCTTATTCAACATATTTTATTATTCTATTAAAAACATTTAATATTCTATGCTTAGTCTAAGCAAAAACTAAAGAGAGTCTTATCAGTTGCATGGTAAGAACTCAAAATGCAAGAATACCAAGGTTGCACTAACAACTTCTCTACTTTGCCCCCATGTACATACACTATCACAGAGCTGAATTACATGGATTACATTCTATTCCTCAATTACAATATAATATGAAATTTCCTGCCACCTTAGATACACCTCCACCTTGCAATATTTATTCAGACTTTTATACTTGCACCAATATGTTTGCTGTAATAGATCACTGTACCTTTGAGAGAAGACTAGAATTAGTGTATAAGATATCTATGGTAGGTACTGAATAATTTTCTCTTTTGAAGCAGAAGCACAGCTAACTGCAGGTGCAAATTAGGGGTCAAAGCTAATGGCTGCATGTTTAGGTGGTCTATAAGTACTATAAACAGGACTTTTTACTATTACTTCTATGGTATATACGTAATCTGTTGTATAACTGTTGTTGAGTATTTGCATATAAATGACTAATGGACTCTGATGTACACAGTAGCACATGTAGAAAACTGGGGTAGCATTGCATTGTGTTTAAAAATAATGTAACACTTTAGACTGTCAATGTAACACACACAAAAGGGAGCAAAGTTAAGAATGTGTATCTGACAGCGTAATCATAACTTTCTATCAATAATGTAAGGGTCCTGGTTACAGAATTTCCTCACTTAATAAGAGAGGAAAGAAGATTGGGGGTGGGGTGGACACATCACCTTTGTCAGGACTTGGAGGTGCTGCAAACTAGCAGCTAATTGGTAATAGCATGCATAAATTCCATAATCTGGAGCATGTGGCTAGGTATAATCAAATGTGAAGTCTAAAGGAAGATCCTCTATTGCACACCTTAGCAGCTATCATGTCAACTCAGAGTGGGCTCTATCCTGCACACCTCACCAAGTATGCTGCCCCATTCCTAACCCCTTTAGACTCAAAATGCTATTAAATTTAGCCTCATGTACCCGCAGAGAATCCTCCTTCAGCTGAACATTTTACAAGATTAATGGGAAGATAAACCCCAAATAGGGAGAAAAATCACCCAAGAACATATCCTGCTCCCAGCTAAAATATGAGGAGACTCCCTGCCAAGAAACCCAGTACGTTAGAAATAAAGAAAAGAAAAAAAACCTTTTAAAACAGTATTACCTTGTATAGTGTGGAAATATAGCCGTTAGACGCTCAATGATATTATCAAGTGCTTTTGAAAATGCCTTGTTTGGCACCCCAACAGCTCCCAACTGCGTAGCTGATGCTGGATCATTTAGCTGTCTTTGGTTCGGCTGTATGTTCTGAGCAGTACTTCCAGAAATCCCTGATGGTTGGGCTACTCGAACTTGATCAGAGTATGATGCTCCTAACGTTTCAAAGGGTATTTCTACTGATCCATTCTTTGCAGAACAAGGATTAGGACTTTTACATGCTGTTTTATTTCCAGTTTGCACATTAAGTGTGGAATGCACCGGACTTTGATCTTTGGAGCTTGAAAATGCAGGAAGTAAAGTGGGACGTACAAGTGCAGATGAATACATTATGATGGCTGGATCATTAATAGGAGGACTGCCTTGCATTACCTACAAAAAAAAGATTCCCCAGAAAGATGAAGAGTAATTAAAATATTAGTCAAGTATTCTTGTCAAACATGTTAAGGCTACAGCTACTTCATGGACTGGGCTGTACTTAACTTAGGCAGTTAAGAAGGAAATGCACAGTAAAAGACAACACTTCATCCTGACCTGATTTACCACGCGGGGTAACCTGTTTATAGCACATATGCAAAATCTTGCCCTTTCTGATAATCGTGCAGTACCTACAGACAAGATTTGCTCCAAGCCTAATTAAAATATAATGTGCACACAAATGCAACCCTTACCGTTATTTTAACTTATACAGAGTTCCCATGGTTTTAGCTACAGAAATGGTCCTGGCCAGTCATCATGATTTTACAGAAGAAATGTTTTGAAAGTGGCTGTGGGCATTTCTTCGTTAAAGATTCCAAGATGGCTGGCAAGAAAGCTACCAGTTAGAGGCATTTAAAAAATTTTTTTTTAAAGGAATATATTTAAACTTTAGCCATATATGGGTTTTTATTTAAAGAAATAAATGGCTGCCATATTCACCATTCTGAAAGGCTCTGCAGGGTTAGAATTCATTTTCATCACAGGGCTCTTTAAAAAAGGATACACTTATCCTCACTTAAAACACAATTGTGCCCACTTACTCATAATGAGTAGTGCTATACTCTACACGCAGACCTAGTGAAATCAAATCAATGGAATTACTATTAGAATAAGTTACTACTCTATGAATATGAAAAGCAAGTCAACATGGTCAGGGACACAACCCCATGCTCTGGGTGTCCCTAAAGCTCTGACTGCCAGAAGCTGGGACCCGGTGACAGGGGATGGATCACACAAAATTGCCCTGTTTTGTTCATTCCCTCTGAAGCATCTGGCACTGGCCACTGTCAGATACTGGGCTAGATGGACCATTGGTCTGACCCAGTATGACCATTCTTATGTTCTAGAATTAGATTTTAATACCTGTTATGTAAATGTGAATTTATCTTTGTACCACCCCTAGCACAAGTTTTCCTTGCATTAGTCTACAGTGAAATCAGATAAAAGATCAAGAACACAGGGAGAGAACAGTACTAGTTTTAGTTTCCCCATCTATAAAATCAGGATAACTCTATCTCCTTTAGTAATGTTTCTCAGATCTGAAGATGAAAACTATCGTAACCCCATTTTGACCAGAGAGATTAGGCAAAGTTCAGGGCCTTGTGGGTTGTTTCTGTTCGGAGGAGAATTTGATGGAGTCAGGTATCCTTGATGCAGTCGTATCTATTTCTTTTTCTGAACACAGGGAGGAATCAAATAGGAAACTGTTTGCTCCAAGCACCTCAGCCCCAAAAGCACTCAGCATTTCTCAGAACCATGTTCCCAGTGCCTGTTCAGGCTGTCTCTGGTGCTTCCTTGCTCCTCTAGTCTTTCTGCTGTTTCTCTGAGGCATTCAGACGTACACAGCTCCACCAATCAATGCCTTAGCCCCAGCATTTGTTATATCCATCCCCCTGGGCCACATAGTTCAGCTTCTGCTCAAGTTTTCATATATGCCTGTGTTTTGGGTGGTAAGCCTATTGTTTCAGTTGTGTGGTTACATAAAGATGTTTAATGGCTTCTTTATATTTATCATGAATGAAAGGCAGCTATTACACCCACCAATTTCAACAAGGTTTAATCCAACCCATAACAATACTATCTAAGAATGAAGCAGATTGAGAGGGACTTAAGAGATCAGTATTCAGAGTACAGAAAAAGTTGATATTTAAGGAAAGGGAAGGAGAGAGAGGAGAGAACGGTTTTCAATGGCTCAAATTTCAATGGTGAACCTCTACCCGGATTAACTATTCAGAAAAAAATTAAAAACAAAACTATCCAGGGAAGTTGTGTGTACAGTGCCCAGTACAATGGGGCCTCCATTCTGACTAGGTTGTCTGGCTACTGAATACAAATTAACAAAAACAGAAAAGAGGCCGGTGACCAAACGAACAGCATCAAACCTTTCTGGTTATTTTCAAAGATCACTCACTAGAAATGCTACAATATAATAAGATGTGAGCTGAAAGGGCATTTAAGGGACTGACAAGCAAATGAACTAACCAAGTACAGGTCTGCAAGAAAGCTGCATTTGTTTTGTCCAACAGCCCAAAACTCACCACATATAAATTGTAGAATGCCCTAAGTTTTCAGTCACATTATTTGACCACAATTAATGAGGGCAGTCATGTTGTCAAAAAATTATATACACTACATTAAATGCTCTGTTTGTCAAACAGTCTGGAAAATGTCAGTGTCTTAAGAATTAATACAGATTTAAATCAGCAAGAGAGTTACCATTTAAATGAATGTTAGTTTTACACAGTAAAATTCTTCCGGTGGTGGTGAGAAAGAACAGTTACTGACCCTACAGTAAGGGCTGATATCCTACAGTTCAAGTTGATATCAGTGTGGATCCCACTGTGGGTGCATATGTCCCTAATGCACATGAGATTGGAGGTTCTTGTGATTTTTGTTTTAAAGTAGTAGTCTGTTTTGGGGCGCGCTTGCACCATATGCCTCTTTGTGCTCCCATGCCTGGACACAAGGAAGGGGCAGCTGTGACCCACCTTCCATTTTCTTGCAATTTGAAACCCATGTTTAGATGAGGACTCTGAAAAGAAGGGATTGAAGGCAGGTTATGGGACTCACACTGACAATAGAAAAGAACCAGTTACTATAAGGTAAGTAATCTTTATTTTTCAGCTGCATCAGTCAAACAGTACTTAGCAGCCATGTCCAGTGCCAAGTCCAAAGCATAATGTTTGACAACGGTCAGTTGGTTTTTCCATTTCACTGCTTTGCAGATTTCTGATATAGGCATATTCCTGAAGCACGTGAATAGTACTGCTGGAGCTCTGGTGGAGTGAGACTTAGTATCTCACCCACCAAATACACCAGCCAGCTGGTAACAGAGAGAGATACTGTGTTATCCATTGCTCTGTGAAGAGATGGCCTGACCTTTAGAATGCCCAGCTAGAGCCAGAAACATGGGGAGACGGTGTGAAGGGTCCTGTCAATGCAACAAAACAAAGTCCTGGACACGTCTAAATGTGTGCAACTTCTTTTTGCCCAGTGCAGACTGTAGTTTCGAGAAGGAGATGGGTAGATTGATAGGTTTAGATAAAATTCTGAGGACTACTTTGGGGATGAAGTTTGGTGAGGTCTTAGCACCACTTTATCCCCATGAAATGGTCATTTAGGGAGGGTTAGCCATAAGTTCTGTACGCTTACTACCTTTTCTGGCTGAAGTGATAGCCAACAGGAAGACTCTTCCGAGTGAGGTAACTGTAAAGCAGCTCTCTGAAAGTGGATCAAAGGGAGCAGGCTCCATGAGTCTAACGAGGACTGTGTTGAGGTCCCAGGTAGGAGTAGGTTCTCTGACTAGTGGGTAAGTATGTAATAACCCTTTGAGGAACTTTGATACTGTTAGTGAAAAAAAAACTGAGCACGACTGTACAAGCGGATGGCATGCCAAAACTGTTGGGAGGTGGACCGTAATAGAACTGAACAAGAGAGACCAGCCTCCTTTAAATGCCATAAATAGTCAACAATCTTCAGTATCAATGCCTGGACTGAAACTAGACTATATGTTAAGTGGCCCACATCAATAACCTCTTCCACTTAGAGACAAATACGTCTTTTTGGTAGATGCCTTCCTGCTCTGTATCAGGATTTCTTGGATCTTTTAGGGAGAAGTCCTTGTCCATGCTACTCAACCACTCAACATCCACACTGTCAGATGCAGTGAATTTAGATCTGGATGGAGTATCTGGCTGTGGTGCTGTGGGATCATGTCTGAGGAGGCCGAGAGCTGACTAGGCTGTTGAATGGACACTTGTAGCAGGTCCAGAACCAACACTGCCTTGGTCAGTAGCCAGCAATGAGGACAACTGTGGCGCTGTCTTACTTAACTTCCATTATTACCATAGGAAATCAGTGGGAAGGTACACCTCTACCCCAATATAACGCAACCCGATATAATACGAATTCTGATAGAACACAGTAAAGCAGTGCTCCGGGGGGGCAGGGCTGCGCACTCCGGTGGATCAAAGCAAGTTCGATATAACGCGGTTTCACCTATAACGCGGTAAGATTTTTTGGCTCCCGAGGACAGCGTTATATCGAGGGAGAGGTGTATATAAAAGGCTGGAGAGGCTTTACTGCCTGCTATGCCAGTGCTGTTGCTGCAGAGGACTTCAATGACATTGACATGGTTGGAGTCGAAGTTGCTGGTAAAGCTCTGCCTGTGCCATTTTTGCCTTCTTTCTACTGCCAGATAACGGGTCTGATGTGCACTCGAGAGAATGCTGGTGAATCTGGCCTTGCTCTGGTAGTGATTATCATCTCTGTATCCAAACTGACCCACGTGGATTACTCTAGCAGATGTAGTTTGAGCTAAGCATCCCTGGATTTGTGGGTCCTGGAAGAAAAGGCCTTGCACACAGGGCACATGACTGGGATGTGGCTTTCTCCTAGGCAGAAGAGGCTTTGTCCATCTTTGACAGAGATCAATCCCTCACAGGACAGGCAATGTCTGAATCCTAAAGGTTTGCAGTCTACCATGAGGTGTGGCAGTTGACACAAAGCACCTTGCCCTGCTGTACAGGGGGGTCA